GTGTTCCTCGCTTCCTAACATCGAAGTGTCTAATCCTTTCTACAGTTATCTTCAGCCCCAAAAGGTCGTATTGCATCAAAGAAAGTCGAGAATGCTGCTCCTCCCAGGTACGGGTGATTTCTTTTCCAAATCACATCCGTAATCTCAAGTGTTGAATTTTATTTTAAACTTCCCATGCTTCTTACTTCCTCTGAAGTTCTGGGTAGTAAATCTTGACCCTCAAGACACCAACGGAGTTGGCATTATATTGGAATTTGTTTGGTCTTTTTGTTCGATGAATCCGTCGTACATCTAGAAGAGCCATAGTTTTTTCTTATTTATCATAATGGGTAAACAGTGTGATTCTTGGTATTATTTTGCATTATTATTAATTTGAAAATATAGATGCAGTTCTCAGTCTACTGATGTTGAGGATCTGGAGAAAAGGTTGGCCTCTCTTAGGAGGACATGATTCCCTATATCCTCTTAAGGATTGTTATGCTGCCTTGCAAGAAAGCTGCTCAACTCTTCTTCTCTGTGGTGTAGAATATGAAATTAATGCTTTCACAATTTGTACAACTTTAGAGAAAACAATGTGTACTTATAATGCTAATAATAATGTGTTTAATAATCTTTCTACTTCAAAACATCCCATTATCGGCATTCAAATGGAACCCAATCCCACCACCCCTTGTGTAATACTGCGTATTTCGTAGATTGTGTACTTATAGTAAAAACATCACTTTTCATTTTGATGGTGAAAGAATATCTACTACCCATCTCATCTCAATTTTAGTTCTACGTTATTGTTCATCATTGCTATGGGCAAATTAATCAATTTATTTGTTTATTTTTGCAACTCATTTGCTAAAATATAATTAAGTCATTTCTTGTTTTGAAGAACTTTTGATAACTTCGTTCTAAAATTAACTTTTTGTTTGACTTTTCATGGTCTTCAATTCAACATTTTGATCATTATATCTCTATTTTTTATATAAATACACATTATAAAAATAATATGTTTCAAAATGAATCTATTGATAACATATTTATATGAAAATTCTATTTATTTTTTTGGTAAAATGAGGTCAAAGTTCAAAATGTTTGACTGCAAAAATCAAACTAAAAAGTTAATTTTAGGACGGAGGAAGTATTATTTTTTAGATATATACCTAGTAGTTGTTATCTTTAATTTCACATTAATTTTGTAATAAATTGAACTAAAAATAATTTAAGTGACGTGGAGTACTGAATAGTTGCATTGGTAATTGTTCATTATTGACAATTTTGTTCCAATGAATCTAAATTTGAAGTGTATGGCAACAACTTTTTTTGCTTTAATTTTAATTTTATATATATATATATATATATATATATATATATATACACACACTATTTCCTCTGTTTCATAAAATCATTGATATTTTTAATTTGCAGAAAAGTAAAAAAATGTGTGGTTTGTCAGGCTACGCGGTACCCCAATGAAATGTAGCCCGTGACTTCATCCATATCAATGAGTTGGTAATAACAAAAACAGGACACGATTGTGACATTTCAAGGATGGTATCAAGAAACACATCGCTCGCGGCTGGGATTTTTGATACAGAACTAGAGTTTTTTTCCTAGGTTTTTCTTATCTACACTTGGAGTTAAGGGAACGATAGAAACTTTGTGCTTCTTTGATGAATTCAAAGGTGGGATGGTAATTCTCGATGCACCCTCACCATGCATAGACATCTGTAACGGAAAGCTGCTGCTAAATGCCTCGGTGGTATTAACACATACATACATGGCAAGGTGTGCTTCATCAAAGAGTGGATTGACATCCGATTTTGGTGGCCGCCTTTCTGGGCCACCCAATGAAGGGTTAGTTTTCTCCGAGTGTCGTGTCTCTCGAGGAGTGGACGAAGGGAATTAGCTAATTTTTCTAACTAGACGAAGGTTAGGACGGGTCTGAAAGTCTTCTCGATTTGATTTGAAAATAATAAAATAAACTATTGGATGCTTTTGAGAAAAAGAAAATAAATAGTACGAGTATAGGACTAGACTTCGGGCCAAGGCATCATCTGAGTTAACTACTGTTGTCACATATTTAATCAATAATTGGAATAATAATATTTCTGTCACAAATATTTCATTAGCTTATCCTCTCTCAAGGCAACATTAATGTGTTCTAAAAAAGTTTGGCTTAATTAATTTTATATCCTCATAGACAAGGCAAAAACTAATTTCCAATAATTAATTAATTTTTCTCTCGACATAACTAATTAATTTAACATTAAAAATAATTCTAGAACAATTATTCCAACTATTAAATAAACATACAGAGTATATGCCCAAATTTAGTCAAGACCCTAATCTGGGCCCTAACCCATACTAGATATCAACAGTGTATAAAATAAAAGAACATTTTATTAAAATTGCAAGTATTAAAACTTACAACAGAGAGCAGAGTCGGAGCCACTTTGGGACAATCGGAACAAAATTAAACTAAAATATTAAAATATAACTGAGAAAAGAGCGGAGAATGGAGTTCCGGGCCTTAAAGACCCGGATTGGAGCTTGATGTAAATGAAGGGGCGAAGCCCTCCTTTTATAGGAGAAAATTTCGGTCCAGGCCTCTGACAGGCGTGGGCCTAAGGAGAGAGGCGCACGCCTGGAGTTAGTGCTGATGATTGATGATGTGCGGCGGATTTGCACAATGAGGCAAATCAATTTCTTTCTTGCGTGAAGTTCTTCTCACCTTCTTTATATTTTTTTTTTAACTTTGTTGATTTGATGATGATGATTTGGAGTTGACACATGAAATTGGACGCAACTCCCTTGCTGCTGCTACCGCAGTAGGCCGGCCAGCCAGGTTGCGCCATGTGGCAGCACCTGGTTGGCCTGATTTTGATCCGGTCCGAAAATTTTTTCTAAAAATACAGTCTTGCTCAAAATTTTATTCTGAACAACTTTTCCTTCTGTGCCGACTTCAAATTCCGAACAAACCTCTTTGCTCCGTTGCATTCTTAAACGTGTTAGAAAATGGAAAAACATGGTGAAAACTGAGTTAAAAATAAGAAAAATGTTGTTCTGTATTGAAAACATGTGAAAACGTTAATATTTATTTTCTATATTTTTGGTAACTCTTTAACTAAACAAATTAGGTTTTAATCTGTTATTGTGTAATTTATATCTCTTCTATTCAGCGTACAAAACGGACTTATCAACCCTGAATAAGAAGATTTGGTTCCTTACGACATCCCAATAACTTGGGGTGTGTTTGGTTTTTTTCGTTCGGTTTTTCCCTAATAACAAAGACAGAACGGAAGTTAATTTGGCGATTCAGTTTGGTTTTTCAAAAAAAAAGTGAACGATCGGTTTTTTGGTTCGGTTTTTGCGGTTTAATCCCCGGGTTTTTTGGTTATTCAGTTTTTAAAAAAACTCGTTTTTAAAAGTATATCACACTCACTTTAAAAAAACTACAAAAAAATTACAAATACTTGCAAATATCTATCCAAAAACTAGAATTGCACCCCAAAATTGAGGAAATGTATAGAGTTTATACTTCCTCACATATAAAAAAACCAATGTAAGCTCATAATTGGTCATAATAAAAAAAAGTCTAAGAAATCAAGTCAACATGTAATTAAAGTCCTAAACATTATTTCTAAAATTCAACTTGCATCTTTAAACTTAAATATGTAAAAACGAAGCAATTAAGGGTTTTATATGGAGCACCTTTTAATTTTATTTTCAACTTCCAAAAATAAACTGAGGCAAAGAGGATATTTACCATAACCATTAAACTTGAAAAAATAATTTAAACAATTAAATATACAAAAACGAAACAAGTTAAATAATTAAACCTACAAAAAATGAAGTTTTACCATAACAAAAATGACTAACTTTTTTCCTCATCTTAAAACTCTTGGTGGTAATTTATATATTTCGGTTTTTTTCAATTCGGTTCGGTTTTCATAGTCCAAAACAAAAAATGGAACAATTTAGAAATGGTTTGGTTTTTCGCATTCGATTATTTTTCTTTCTGTTTGATTTATTTTTTGGCACAATTCAATCGATTTCGATTTGGTTTTTGATTTTTGGTTTTCCGGACCCACCCCTAATTTTTAATTGAAGGCTTAGAGGATTTGAACTTTGATGACATCATTTACAAAATTTCAATAATCTCAAATCACTCTAAAGTCGGTATGACTAGCTACTGACAACAAGGGTGGGGAAGTCCGTGAAAAGTCGACAGGAGAATACTTGAGCCCGGAGACGAAAGTTGCGTAAGAATCTAAGTGTAAAAGTAACATGTGGGGAATGTTTGAACCCTTTTAAAGGTTTTGTTGGTCTAATTAAAACACTCACAAACTGACATGACCAATGCCGCGTGGGTTACATAGCGTGTCGATAGATGAATGAAGCGTATAATCCAAAAAATGGCAGAATAATGACTATCATCATTAACATTACACCCCAAGAATGAAGCGGGACATTTGTTAAGCATTTGCATTACCGTTTGTCCACCAGTACCTTGGTCAAGAGAAAGCCTCGTTAACTTAGTTTTTTCTCACAAGGTTTTTCAAATAAAGAACACCCTGGTGGACCAGGGCGATAGGTCAATCTAGACTTTCCATCTTTTTGTTTGACACTCGACGAGAAAAAAGTAGGGGATTGATATGGATGATGTCCTTGACACGGATGATAAAGCAATTTCTAATTTAATGAATGTCAAATTTTTATTACTATTTTAGTAATAAAAACATGAAAGTCTTATTTTAGTACTTTTCTATATTTTAGTCTTATTTAATATAGAAATCATCCTAAATAGGACTAAAACATAGAGAAAAGTACCAAAATAGGACTTTCATGTTTTTTTTCCCGGAATAGGACTTTGCACTGTGGTAATGTGACTTTGCATTGTGGTAATGTGGCAGTGTACATGTGCAAATTACTATACTTTCTTGGTAATGTATATGACCATGTTTGATAATGTAAGTCCTATTTCGAGAATAAAAACATAGAAGTCCTATTTTGATATATTTTCAATGTTTTAGTCCTACTTTGATCTTTCTCCCTATTTAATATCACCTTCTTTTTGGATTTTGGATAGAAAAACTAACTCCAATACTCCATTTAAAAACACACAAAAACACTGTTGTGTTTTTTTCGTCCACTCGATGTACGTAAATAGGGAATACTGCATATTAAAGGCTCCGTTTGGCGACCAGGTAAGGTGGGGACGGGGGAGGACCACTACGAAATCCAGGTCGTATCCTTTCTTCGCTCGAGCATCCAGAAAGGGTAACGATAACAGATCTTCATCACCGCGTCCCCATCAATTCACGATTGATCGCATGGTTCTTCCTCGTAGAAATCGATCTCCTTTTCTAGCCTGAAAGTCAAAGAACGCATAATCGTGTTCCCTACGTAGCTTTAAAGGAGAAGAATATCCCCTTTCTTTCCCTTTGAATTTGTTTTAATCATCATAAATAGATTAACGAAACTCTGTTAAGATCTCCAATCGGAGTCGTTCTTCGGCTTCCTGAGATTGGAAGAGGTTCCCCTCATCAATCCAAACTTCACATTAGTTGTATTCATCAGTGGTAAGCATCTCTGCATTTGTCGCTTTATAATTTGAATTTCACGATCTTCTTATAAACCCTTGTTAATGTGTCAGTTCAATTCGCGTTGCTCTAGGATTGACTGTAGTGGTTATGCATCCCGAGTTTGAATATTTTTAATAGCATATTAAGCTTGAAGAAGCAGATATCCAATTATGTTATCAGCATTATGTGCATCATTGTTTGATTTCATAAGTGCAGACATGCAGAGCCAACTGGTTTGTAACGGGTGCAGGACTATGCTTCTTTATCCGAGAGGAGCTTCAAATGTCTGCTGTGCTGTGTGCAATGCACTCACACCTGTCCCACTTCCAATGCCTGGTATTGTTCTTTGATCTTTATCAACATCTCGAAGGCCAATCATTAGCTAATAGCTACGATTTTGTATGATTTGGCATGTCTCTATTGGAAAATAAAATATGAAAATGAGAATAGAAAATCTAACACTCGGTATTAATACGGTGTAGGCTGTTGGTTGTTTATTATGCCTTACTCCGTGATAGTTTGTTTTGTAATGGATAAGCCTCTACAAAAGCATGGTACTATTGTATTTAGTTTTCATGGAAAGCAATATGATTGTTCTTATTCAATGCTTATGCTTCTATTTGGACTAGATGAGGATACATGGGGATATACAAAGAGTAAAATGATCCCACACATGAAAAGAAAAACAATATAAAAAAACAAATTCTGGTGTTCAAGAACAAAAAACAGAGAAGCTCAGCCAAGTGTCACACATTAGCAATGCAAAATGTTGTATTTATCCATATTGTCCTAAGTTGAGGATTTTTTTATATCTCTAGTGCAACAAATGTTCTTGTATTTAGTTACTTAGGTTTTTATGTAAAGCTTTTTCTTCATTCAGCAATGGAAATGGCTCAACTGATATGTGGAGGCTGTCGAACATTGCTGATGCATCCCCGTGGTGCCACAAGTGTGAGATGTTCATGCTGTCATACTGTTAATCTTGTTCCAGGTAAAAATATTTAGATCCATGCATAGAACATGAGCAGCTAAGTAGTAAACTTGTGATGTGAATAGAAAATGTGTGAAATCATACGAAAATTGTCATTAATGCTATGTATGATGGTGAATCATATAAAGGAATGTTTGCATCAAAATGTATTTCTTATTTTTTTCCAGTTCACTTAGTTTTAATTTAAGCATTCCTTTTGTGAAGAGTGAAATAAGAATTTCATGTTAATAAATTGAAAGTAGAGCAATGCAGGGCCTGGGGGTAGGCCTATTTGAAGAGTTGAAAAAAAAAACTGAATACTAATGCTGGCATCTATAAGCGGCTAAGCGCTCATTTACTTTGAGATATTATGTGTGATTGATACTTTTATTCAGTGCAATCCAGTTTTAACATCACACAATGAAAAATTCAGGCTTGAAACAAGCACGTCAGCTCAGTCCTATTCTAATCCCTCATATGAGGTGTGACTGTGTGAGTGCAATTATCATACAAGATTAAGGCTGTCAAAGTGAAAGGTCAATTTTGTCCACAAATTTTATCTGTCAATTTACTTCACTTGCTCCTCAAAGCATTAAAATTTATGCAAACAAATACGCATAAAAATGAAACAAATTACCTCAAAGCCGTAAGCACAGTACGTAAACAGATTTAAAAGTGTATGCAATTTCAAACTAAATTTGATAATCAAGAACACAACACGAAGAAATAAGCCCACTAGGTCATCCAATCTGAATTTAGTTGGAAGAGAAGACTGAGAATAGTGAGAACTGAGAAAAAGAATAAAAAAATATGCTTCTCAAGGCAGATGGAGAAGGAAAAGAGAGAAAGAGACTACTTTCCCAAAGAAAATGAGCTGCTTCAAACAATCTTACGGTCTAGGAAGAGAATTGAATTAGTCATTACTGTGGCTGCAGTACGATTCTGCTTTTGCCAAGCCTTCTAATGATGCAGAGCACCCGTCTTAATTAAACTAAATTCCGATCAAGGAAAGAATAGGAAAATCCGCACAACTAAGAGACGCGCGGCTTGCGACACAAGAGAAGCACAATGAAGCACACTCATGCTGAAGATCGCTGCACCCTAATGTTCTGTTGTGATATCCGGATCACATTCACTGCATGTAGGTACGTTCTTTTAAATCAAGCTCTAGAGGACCATAATATTCCTGGCTCTTCATGCAATATCTTCACGAAATTGTCCTAATAAACAATCATTCGCTTGGAATTTATCCAAGATACAAATCCAGGGCGTTACCTTCAAGATACATTGACTTTCTCACATTTTGGGGTTCCACTATTGTGGAAGTATTTTGCTGCCTTCTCCAACCTTGTGATCTCCACCATTGAATTTGGGAAACTCAACCCTCTTGTGTGGGGGCTTGACCCGTTTCCGCATACCTCACATTCATTGTCACCATCATCTGCCCAATGAGAATGCCAATTTTCTGTGACCCCAAGCATCCTCAAGTTGGGGAGCAATGATTGGCCATGTATCAGGTGCAGTAGTAGACAAAGACGCGGGATTAAAAGGGTATGGAGGTTTGGAACATCCATTTTCTTAACAAGGCTCCGATACAAAGTGATAGCAAGCTAAGAGGAATTGAATAGGAAATTGGGATTATCATTTAACAAGGATGTAAGTGAGCACTTTTGTAGCTAACAATGGAGAATCTTATGTAGGAGGAACCACCACAGAAAGATTCCTCATGCTTTATCTGTAGGAAAACTATGAAAAGAGCTGGCAATCTGGATTGTATTGAAAAGGTTCCCTGAGACACAGCATGGAAAAGTAACTATATTGAGATAGGAGTGTAGAAAGAGTATTTTCCAATAATTAATTAGGGAGATTACATGTCCTATATATACAAAGGTTTCCTAAAGATGGTAGGAAACATAATAATTAAGGCACCCTATACAAATATGGTAGCTACCAATATACATAAATATTAAATATAGTAAATATATATTTACATATTTAACATGCTCCCAACGGCGCTAGTGGAGATTGTCGTAAGCCCAGACAAGTCCGAAACTCCGAGAAAATCATTGAGGGTAGTCCCTTGGTGAATATGTCAGCGTACTGTAGGGAAGAGGGAACATGAAGGACCCGTATCTGACCCAGGGCGACTCTGTCGCGAACAAAGTGAATATCAACCTCAATGTGCTTCGTGCGCTGATGCTTGACAGGATTTGCAGAGAGATAGACCGCACTGATATTGTCACAGAAGACGAGAGTGGAGCGAGTTAGAGGTTGCCGGAGCTCAAGAAGTAGATTACGTACCCAACTGACCTCAGCGACTGCATTGGCAACAACTCGATATTCTGCCTCGGCACTCGATCGAGAGGTGGTGAGTTGGCGCTTGGAGGACCAAGAGATTGTCGCCCAGAAAAATGCAGTAGCCGGATGTGGAGCGGCGAGTGTCAGGACAACTGGCCCAGTCAGCATCTGAATATGCCCGCATATGATCCGTTTGAGAGGGTGAGATGGTGATGCCATGGGTGGGTGTACCGTGTAGGTAGCGCAAGACGCGCTTCATGGCTGTGACATGTGGCACCCGTGGATCATGGAGAAAGAGGCAGAGCTGCTGGACGGCATATGTGATGTCAAGACGTGTGAATGTGAGGTACTGCAGTGCACCCACAATAGAGCGATATAGAGAGGGATCTGGGGCGGGCGGACCGACAGTGGCCGACAGCTTCCCACGGGTGTCCACGGGAGTAGAAACTGGTTTGCACGAAGTCATGCCGGCGCGTTCAAGGATGTCGTAGATGAACTGAGTCTGTGTGAGGAACAATCCATGGGCGGTCCGCTGGACATTAATCCCAAGGAAAAAGTGAAGGTCACCCATGTCTGTCATGGCAAACTCCCCTTTCAGTCGATTTGTGAGTTGCTGAAGAAGAGCTGGGGAGGAGGCTGTGAGGACAATATCATCAACATACAGTAAAAGCAGAGCCATGTCCTGACCGTGACTGTAGACAAATAAAGAGGTGTCGCTCTTGCACCCACTGAATCCAAGAGAAAGAACAAACCCTGTGAATCGCTGGTACCAAGACCTGGGTGCCTGCTTGAGGCCATAGAGTGCCTTATTTAATTTGCAGACATAATTCGGGCGCGCTGGGTCCTGGAATCCCGAAGGCTGAGCGGTGTAGACAATATCTGTGAGATAGCCCTGCAAAAAAGCATTTTTGACGTCGAACTGGTGGATCGACCATCCTCGGGACACGGCAAGACTTAGGACGATACGGATAGTGGCCGGTTTGACAACCGGACTAAAGGTCTCGTCATAGTCAATGCCGTGGCGTTGATGGAATCCACGAACAACCCATCGAGCCTTGTACCTGGATAATTCACCTGTGGGGCCAAGTTTGTGGCGAAATAGCCATTCACCGGAGATCACATTTTGGTCGGGGGATGGGGGTACAAGATCCCATGTATGATTAGCTATCAAGGCATTATATTCATCTAGCATAGCATTGTACCAGTTAGGGTCCTTTAGAGCACTACGGTAGGTAGGGGGTATGGGGGAGATAGGGGCAATGGTGTTGAGGTTGAGGATTTGTTTGGGACAGAAGATACCGGCCTTGGCTCGGGTGACCATGTGGTGAGAGGGG